CGAAGTTTGGGAGACGCCGTTGTAACGGTGTCCCACATATTCATTATCGTGTATGTTAACATGCAGATGATTTTATTGAATTGAAGAGAGTGAGAGACGGAATGATTTAGAGTTAGAATGTAAATAATTCAAGGAATTTTAGCTAGCTGGAGCAGAGTTGTGAGTTCGATCTTACGGTACGGAGGCACTCTCACCACACCGCCAGTAGATGCGGGCCTAAGTACGAACGAGCTCTCGCTCATTCAACTTTCCCATTCAGGTGCTATCCAGAAGCCCCCCAGCTGCCCCCAACTGTAGCGCCACTTACGGCGGCTTGCGTGGAAGGTCGCCCAAAGTGTATTTGTGTATAGTAAATATAGCAGTCGTTAAATTTTAAACAACGAATGTTTAACAAAATTACTTCTGTTTCGAGCAACATTGTTTACAATTTGATCAACTGTTGTTTAAGATAGTGTACAACTGTAAGTGAACATCACTTTTTTAAACAGCGTTTTTACTGTGTATACACCAGTTTACGGTTCTGTGTGCCATTTTAATTGACGAGTAAAAAAATTCAATGACCTCTAGAGGTCAGTGGTTTGTGCATAATTAAGATTGCGCCCATGCAAATTATGATAACATCACTGCCTGCGCGCTGCGCTGTGCGCTCACATCAGAATTTGCATGGGCGCAATCTTAATTTACGCACAAACCAAATGACCTCTAGGTCATTGGCTTTGTTTACTCACCAATTAAAAAGGCGCCCATGTCTGCGCATGCGCACTGATGTAACCGTAAACTGGTGTATTGTTGATGGTCACGTGACAACTTTTTAGCCAATAGGATACTCGCTATTAAACATTCTAGTTTATTATAATGACATTACAGATATATCTCAAATTACAATGGTCTACTAACACACCTGATGGGGTAGCTAGGCCTACTATATGCAAAACTCGGTGACCCCAAGTGAAATTTCCGAATTTTTTCTGGCACACCTATTAATGAATTAGGAACTACGCATGAGGAATTGTTCAAACTTCCTTAGGTTATTTTTGTTTCCATTAAAAAATAAAAACGTTAAACTTAAAGGTAAGATTTTGGGAAGGGTTGGAAAAAAAATTGATTAGATTTGCTCACATGTTGTAGGTATCTGTTCAGACCACCGCACCTTGATATGTGTATACGAGTTGCTAAGTAGCTGCCACCGTCCGCTATGACACAAAGGGCCATTCCACAATCCGACACCATTAGGTTCGCGATGAAATAATGAGTGGCGTTGTGAAATGATCTCTTGGTGATGATGACGAAGAGGACAACGGATGCGAAGACGATGGCGAGGACGCCCAGGACGATCTCCATGTGCGCATACCATTTCAGGAGGGTTAATATCTTCCTGTAGATCAGTACCCAGTCCAAATCGTCGCCCTCTTCGTTGTCGGGAAGGGTAGCGTTAGGATGGGCGAAGGCGGCCGAGTCGTCGACGAGTGAAGGAGTATTCATGCTGTTCGGAGGGACTCTTCGGAAAAAAAATATATGTGTGGGACCGACAGACGATGTGTTGGTGCCGCTGATATGCCTCTAGATTGTGGCGAAATGGGTTTTTGCAGTCAGTGATATAAGCGCGGGAAGGCGGGGGGGGGGGGGGAGGTGGAGGTTTTCAGTGGGTAAAAAAAATGCGTATTATACTTAGTCTCATCTTTCTGGTTTGGTTTGGAAATATGGTGATTAGGATTAGCGGATAGAATCCGTAAATAAGGCCGAGTGAGGATCGAGGTGATAGAGAAAGTGAAGGAAGGAGAGACAGATAGACGAAAGGAAAGAGAGAGAGAGAGAGATGGACAGTCAGACAGACAGACAAACAAACAGACATAGTCAGGACTGTCAAAAGCATTTGACAGCTATAAAGGCTGAAAGCAGTGAATAAGTAAGCTTAGTATACTAAAAGATATAAGGAAGCCAATGAATGTGGAAAAATAGATATTTGTTTCTTCCCCGTTTGTGCGTGTTCGTAATTTCATGCGGTAAAATGTACTACTCCTGGGGGGCGTTTCACAAAACTTGTCATCAGTGACAAATGACAATTTGTGTTATAAGCTACTGAAATCCTCGCTTCTGATTGGTTATCAGCAGATTTGTCACTGATTTTCGTTATTTTTCATTGAAAAAAAGGCTTTGTGAAACGCCCTCCAGGATTCAGAGAGTCAACTGCCTATGAAATGCTTTGTTTGAGTATAATGCATGGGTGAGAATTAAAAAAAACATGCATCAAATGCGAAATCGAGGATACAGATAAGAGACAGAGAGCGAGAGAACGATAGAGGAGGAAAGAGGAATGAAAAGATGTGGAGAGAGGGTGAGCGAGAAAAGATGTGGAGAGAGGGAGAGAGGAAGAGAGAGAAGAGATGTGGAGAAAGGGAGAGAGAGAAAAAAAAAAGAACGAGAGATGAAAAAGAAAACTGAAATGATGAGGAGAAGTCAAACATGTCAACAGGGGGATTGGGGGAACAAGAGAGGAGGGAAGATAAAGGGAGGCAAAATGAAATGGGAGAGAGAGAGAGAGAAAGAAAGGTAGGGGAAGAGGAACGAAATGAGGAAAGAAAATAAGTTGAGGAAGAGGGAGAGGGGGGGGGGGGGGGTAGAACAAACCAGATAAACGATGAATTAATTAATTAATTCCTTGAAATGCTAGAGCATAAAGGCCGCCTTGTTAAAGCTAGGGTAATAATCGGGCAGCGCCTGGAGCCTCACGATTTGGCGGACATGTGCGCTAGATAAGAAGCCATTATTATTATCATTATTATTATTATTATTATAAAGGTGGACACCAGGAAAATGGAGATTGTCTCGAATTATATATTCATGGAAACTCGCATCAAAGGTATTTCACCGTAATCCTTGTTTATTTCACATTTTGTTAATCCTAAAATCTAAAACTCTTAGGTAATGGAGGCCTACAGGTCAAGTTTTTATAATGCCGTCTCAAATCCTCGCAATAGGGACTTTTAGATTTGCGTGGACTGATACGTGTGACGTCCATTCAAGGCAGTACATTAAAAGGACGTCGACCGTAGAAATCCCCATTGTCTTCGTGCGAATCTAAAAGTCCTTATTAAGCCTTAACGCAAGTACAAGCAATGCACGTTTTAGATGCGGTGTAAACATCAATATGAAGTCAAACCTACTGAGTGGCTACCTCTCTGTAAAGACCACCTGTTTTATATTATAATGGTCATGCATTTTTCTCCCTATACAGATTGAAATGTGTGCTGAATATTTTTTTTATACTTTTTTTTTTTTTTTTTTTTTTTTTTTTTGGGGGGGGGGGGGGGGTGTCCAAATTGTGAGAAAATATTTAGCAATGACTCAGCCAGCCGTTAGTTATGAGGGGGAGGGAGGGAGGGGAGAAACAGATATTTTTCACGGGGCAGAATTTTTTTTTTTTTTTTTTTTTTTTGCTTGGGGGTGGGCGCTTTGTTTTGTTGATAATCCGTTGCAGCAGCTCCTGCAAGCGATACTTGGGGAGGGTTTCACAAAGACTGAGATCGACTTTAAGTTGGACTTAACTATGGCAGGCTGTTCACGCCAATGTTTGCTCTCACCATTTAGAGTCATTGGTCTTCCAATCATAGTCTCTAATCTACAGAATTTACATATTTTGATAATCCATTATTGAAGGAAAAAATGATATCTAAAGATCATAATGGTGAGAACAACCAGTGGCATGAATGACCTGCCCTAGTTAAGTCAGTGCGTCAGTGTGAGGTGCCATAATGAAGTTATAAACTCGATATTATTTTATCTGAACCTAAGGCGCAAAGCAAGAACAAATCTTGTTCCCTATATCGAAATAAATAATTTTGTTGCGAATTAAATCAGACCGATTGCTTTCATGAACGAAATTCATCCCAAGACAATGTTTACGGAGTAAATCGAGGATAAAAAGGTCTTGCTAAAAAAGTTTTTTCTTTGAAAATGTGTGATTTAAATATGTAAAATATTATAAGGGTTACACGTGACTTCGCAAATTAAAATCAAATAAAAAGTGTCCTTCTATTTATGTTGTGTGTTCTTTGGGTTTGAGTGTGCGCGTGTGTGAGCATGCCTGTGCGTGTGCGAGTCTGTGAGTGTTATTAACTATGTGCGTAATGCTTTAAATTTATTGAACAGATGTCGTACATCCACCCTCCCCTGACAGATATCGGACAATCTCTCACACAAACATGCATGCCCACACACACACATATATCCACACTCTCAATAACATTCACCACCTATTATATACCTCGATTCCTCGAAGTCGAGCAGAACTCTTACATTTCTCTCTCTCTCTCTCTCTCTCTGTGTCTCTCTGGTCGAGTGGTTTAAGGCGCTTGACCTTGGAGATGCGAAGGTCGAGGGTTCGAATCCCGACACCGGCATTAATAATATTAGTGCCGGTGATCCTTTGGCAAGATATTAACCTGCACTTGCTACTCTCCACCCAGGTGTTAAATGGGTACCCGGTAGGATACGACCGTCATTGTTGGTCAAACAGTTTTTGAGCGTCATGTAACGCCTGGCTGGAATGCTCCCCAGGGAGTGGAGATTATGCACACGTTGTGTGCGGGCAAGCACTGAATCCAATGACCGGGGTAATAATATATTTGTAAAGTGCTAAGAGAAAATTAAATATTAAATATTATTATTATTATATATATGTGTGTATGTGTGAGTGCGTGCGTGTGTGTTTGTGAATATATATATTATATACAAAAACACATTAAATAATGATCCTCTATAATTATTATTGTATTACCTCGAAGTCCGAGCAGAACTCTCTCTCTCTCTCTCTCTATCTCTCTTTCTCTCTATCTCTCTTTCTCTCTATCTCTCTTTCTCTCATTATTTATATAAGTACGTATTGAAGAAGAACTTAACCCATTGCCTACTGGAACCTGGTAGCTCCTGCATTAAAGCCTATGGGAATGTGAGAATTCAGTAGTTAATGGGTTAATAAAGATGATTGAGAGGGTAGGGTGTTCAAGTCCACATCAATTATTTATTGGGCGAAATCATACTGATTAACAAAACAAAAGTAAGGAATGATCCTTGTCATAACTCCCCCTTACTTGGTAACCTTGGGATATCAAAATGACCAAAAACCTAGTACTTGTCAAACAAATGATAACTGATATCTATGTTTCGGTGCTCAGATATACGCGTATACGCAAGTATAATCTTCTAAAAGGGGGCGTGAATATTTCTCTCTATCTACACCAAAGGACCAAATACCCTGACCTTTAAATCTTCTCAAATCTTCTCATTACAAAAAAAAAAGCATTGCTTGGGATTCATCAAACGTTGAAAATTTCTTCGCGTACGCTTTAGATAGAGAGTCTACATCCGGGCTTTCATAACTGCGTACATGGCGATCATTCCGATAAAGAGACAGGCGCCCGCAGCGAGGGAAGCAAGGAATATATACGGCGAAGCCCAGCCAGTCTTTGCAGTCACTCCTAGTACAAAATAAATGTAATAATGATAATAATTAGAATAATAACAATCGCAATGATAATAACATTAATAATAATAATAATAATAATAATAATGGTAATGATAATTTTATGTTCTTTGTAGGTTTCTGTGGTGATTATTCACACATTGGGGCTGTGGTAAAACCATATTAACTTACTGAAAAGGCTTTTCAGTAAGGATCCGATGCGATGTTATTAATACAGTCAAACTCGTCTTTAGCGACCGCTCAAGGGAGATAAAAAGTGGTCTTTGCAGACAGGTGGTCTTTGTAGACAGGCTCCTTTAGTACATGTTTCAATGAGAAACCATTTTCAAGGCCAGGAAACAAAAATTGTGGTCTTTGTAGACAGGTTGTCACCAAAGCAGGTTTGACTGTAGTATAAATATTGAGCTTATTTTGTCTGGTATTATTCTGTTAATAACGTTTCACCTTTTATTACTGAGGTATGGGTTTCTTACAATAATCGTGTCAGTCCCTCCTAAAAAAGAGCCCCTCCCTCTCTCTCCTAACCCCCTAATGTCCATCATAATATAATATATACACCTATAGGGTGGTATTCTCGAAAGCGGACTAACTTTAGTCCATGGTTTAATCCACCGACTAAGTATGTAATGCCAAGTGTCCATGTGAATATATTTCTGAATGATTTGATATGTCCCTAAATAGCCATGATAACATAATTATATCATAGTTATATTGTTCTTTATTAATTATGTTATTACATTTTATTTTAATTTAGTGACAGATTGAATTATTCAACAACATATTCATAGGGACACATGGCATTCCATACTTAGTCGGTGGATTAAACCATGGACTAAAGTTAGTCCGCTTTCGAGAATACTACCCTATAGTGAGCGTGTGTTTATAGGTCCATGGTATATTACACACACCTTGTTTCTCAGAGCCTTTTACGAAAGGCCCAACTATCTGCGAGACAATCCGCGGCTGGGAGTTAGTGCCAACCGGCTTGCCAACCACGCTTCTCCTTAGTCTTGCGGGTAGAGGCAGGGCTGGGGCGAGGCACCCCTGTGCGCAGATTGAGTTGGTGTCGCCCTCATTACACGCCACTACCTCGCAATGGACGTATACCTGGAAAAGAACAGAGCACATTACAGAATACAGCGTGATGCAATAGTGAATGTGGTTTAATAGATGAGCGAGTGTGCGCTTGTAAAGATGACGCCTGGCTGGAAGGCTCCCCAGAGAGTGGAGAATGTGCTTACATTGCGTGCGGTATTAAAGCCTGAGTCCGAAGACCGGGGTAATAATATATCTGTAAAGCGCTTTGAGAGGGCCTGCGGTCCTGAAATGCGCTATAAAAGAACGAACTATTTGCAAAGACTGAATAAATCAACTCGATTTCAAATTTAATGACCCTATGTTGTACATCATATATAGATCATGTTGAGATTACGCAATACGATGATTTAACAGGGCTATGAAATTGCATTTGGTTGATTTTGCGAAAGTATTTGCGATCATATTATGATATAAAGATGGATACAATATATACAAATATTTATCAAAAAACGCTTGAAGTGGGCCATCGCTTGGACTTCTTTTTAATAGTGCTCAACATTTACATAAATCTTTTTGACATAATGATCATGCATGGGCAACATACCAGTGAGATACATTCATCCACACTCACAAACATCCATATTGAAACAATCATTATCATATCAAATATTAAAGCAACACTGTCCTACTTATAGCTACTGGCTCCCTCTATACAGAAAACTTCCCCAATCGGTGCCTGTTGGTCCCCCATGATCCTCGTTTTCTTTTGTTAATTGAGAGCTGAGTTGATGAGATAGCCACCTGTCACAGTAACCTCGCTGGCTAGCTGGGTGGTCCATTCCCTTCTGGATGAACTAGTACAGCCGGCCTTTAAATTATTTTGCATTTCTTCATCTTTTACATGAAGATCAAGGTGTATCGGTTAAAAAAAAAGGGAGTTCAAACATTTTTATCATAAGCAATGCTTTAATGCGTCGGTGTACAGTTAAAAACATTAGCTGGAGATTGTTTGAAATACCTGTGAGTAGTCACCGATAAAGGTGAAAGCGTCGAAAGTAAACGGCTTAAACGAGGGTCCGAAGGTCGAAATGGTCTGCACGGTGTCGTCAGATGCACATCTTAAATTTCAAAAAATAAATATATTACATATTAATCTACACTGTTGGTCATAAAGTTGAAATAATTTTTGTTACCCCAATTTATGGAATGAATTTGACATTGATTTATTCCTAATAGATCTAGTTAATAATATACATTCTCAAATTTTGTTGAATAATAGTTTGCAAGTGTTTTTTTTTTTTGCGTGACTGCTAAAATGCTAATCAATTAGGGGACCTACGTCTTTAAGTCATAACTGATAGTACTGAGGATTAATGCCTCACAAAAGGGCACTAATATAGCTGATCGACACAGTTTTTATCCCGGGGCCTTACAGTAACGAGGCTATTGCTTGGCCACTGAATCACGACTGTACGCAGCGGGGGCTAGGGTACGGTCTACGGCTACCCCCACAAATACAAAAAACAAACAAAGGAAATGCAATAAATTATCAATTATTCATTGTATCTCCCCTAACATGAAAGATTCCTCTGTAGGGCCATGCGTTATGGTTCAAGGCATGGCCCTAAATAGGAATCTATATATATTTTCGAGGGAGCAAATGTCGGAACACAAGTGAGGGATAGCAAAATAGCACTATTTCTTACCCGTCTTTAATTAGATCATATTGCTTCGTGTCAAGCGGATCCGAAGAGGGCGTGCTCCAGCAGTGATCGATAAACAGGGTCAAATTAGAAACGGATGTTAGGCTGACCGCGTAGAACAAGCGGTCTTGGATTCGCACCGGGGCCGCCTCATTCGGGTGGCGCTCCCTGAAGTTCTCGTCGGTATACCGCTCGAAGTCGACGGTGAAGTTCCCGTAACCGACTTCGTCAATTTTTAGTGAGCTGCTGATGGGGTTGTAGAACCGACTCAATACCTGACGCCGACGAATCTGGCACCGGACATTGATCAGCGTCTCCCCCATGACTCTGGTGATCACACTACCGTTAGGGGTGTTGTCAGTAACTGTTGTAGAGATCACATTGGAGTAGATGATGAAATCTGAATTTTCCTGTAGAGGTAAAATTATGGTTGGAAATATAATAAATGTGAGCAAAATTAACGTATAGCAATTAAATTATTAGGTAAATTGAAATGAAATAGGCTTTTATTAATAAAAAATGAGAATCGTGTGAAACCTAATACGACTACTAATGATGACGATGACAATAACATTTGTCATAGCGCTTAGTACCACTTTTTTATCATTACATCGGGCATTGGAATTAACTATATCACGCACATAATTCACAATATCCAATCCACTGAAACATTCAAGCCAGGCGCCATTTAACAGGCTTTCTTTTCATATGGGGAAATCTGTGTTTCACAAGGGTGATATTTTGCACCATAAAAGCTCGTTCATATATGACGAAGTAAACTGCTGCAAAAATAAAACTGCAGCGTGTTAGATGTTTTTGCCTGTAAATGAACGGCTACTGCCCACGCACAAAAGTCCTGTAGTACGCTTTACGTCATCGTTAAATCTTTTGTTTGAACGCCTCGGTTTAGCAGCGTCATATATCTGAACGAGGCTTTAAACGGTTTCCTAATTGATTTTTACGTGAGAAAATATGTATACCTCAGTGGTAAATTTGCATTTGTCATATCGACTGTAGAGGGCGATGTTCTCCCCATTGGGGTTGTATCCAACACACGATTCGTCGATGAAATGAAGATCGGCGGGGAGAATATTTAGCGTCTTGCTGATAAACACCGTCATGGAAGAACTGTCACACGTGACACGGGCAGCTGAGAGCGAGCGAGAGAGAGAGAAACATGAACGCAGTTAGTTTCGAAAAATCAACCTAAAGCAATTGCAATTCTTCTTAATTTTGACATGTCCAGACGGGACAATGACGTATTATCCGAAAATGTTTTCTATGGGACATAGGATAGGGCATTTAAATCGCCCTGCGGTTGATTTTTTTTCTCGAAAGTAGTCGCAATCGTGTTGTCTAAATGAAAGAGGAGACACTGAGCGAATAGATCTACACGAGGGCCCTGTTTTGCCGGGCTGCTTTGAAAAGAGTTGATATTAATCGCAACTTATTTGCGATTGATGTCGATCGCAACTATATACATAATAATTATTAAGAGATGGGAGACTGGAAACTTGCGACTGATTTGGATCAATCAACCAAGAATTGGTTTGGATCAATCGCAACTCTTAATAAGACGGGGCCCAGATCGACAATATTTAAAGGGAAAGTTGGGTTCTGTTGCAGAGGGCGCTACACAAAATATTTTTTGTGTGAGATAATGAAAAACTGAGTGTCAAATAAAAAAAGAAGAACATAATATTTAAATGACAAAATCATCTTTGTTTGATCAAAATCGGTTCAGAGACGGCTGAAATATAACGATCTCTAACACTTTTGTACCACCACAAATATTAGATATTTTGAAAAATTTGAAAAAACCGTTAAAAACAAACGAAATGAAACCTTTACGTCGTATTTCAGCCAATGCCGATGTTGGTTTTTTTGTTGGCATTTTCGTGTTGCTTATATTACCCACAATTAGCCGGCTCATGTATTGTTATTTTTAACTAAATGATTAATAAACGGTCACCGTGTTTTGTTTGAGTGGAGCTGAATTGGTATGCTCGTACAGGAAAATTTCACACATTTTGGGGTCTAAAATTACCTTCATAGCAATTTTAGGTTCTAAAAGGGCACTATAAATGTCAAAGATAAGAATAAGAGCAATAACCATGCACTTTGAAGGCATTTGCGGTCTGAAAACACAACTCAACTATCCCTTTAAGAACCCGACCAAATACAAAGAACAACCAAGAAGGTCCAATATTCTGTCGGTTAGGAATCGGTTTGTCCGAGGTCGGATTGGCGCTGTGACTGAGGTCGGTCTGGAGTCGGTTTGTCTGAGGTCGGACTGGCGCTGTGACTGAGGTCGGTTTGGAGTCAGTTTGTCTGAGGTCGGATTGGCGCTGTGACTGACGTTCATTAAATCAGTCACACCAACTAGACTGACAAGAGACCAAACACAAAACGAACATTCAATTTTCAATTCAATTCATTTTGTTTGCACATTTGATAAAAATCACAATACAAAGTCAATTCCAACAAATAACACGACATGAAAGAAATATCAAAATGTGGACGGACAAACAAAGACCAAAATCCTATCAAAGGCTGGTCCCTAATCTATATAAGTAATAAAATATAGATATAAACTAGACTTTAAATCGTCACTTTGACGAATTAGGTGACATGCTAATGTTTTACATAATGGAGCATGCATTTTCATTCTCTTATAAAAATGCTCTTCCCATTATGGTCTATCCATATGTCAATTTTCATATGTGTAGCCTTGATCATTTTGGATCTATCTAGTGCTTTGACCAATCGACCAAAATATTTCTCATAGACTTTACATGCAAAGCTGACAAGTTTAGAGTGACGCTGATTCCCTTATTAACGGTCATAAAGAGATAAACATGGTATCAAATTGTTCGGAAAAAAATTAAGGAATATCGTGTCAAAAACAAAATACGAGGAATTATTTTGCGTTCGGCCGTGACGAACGTAAACGCGTGTGCGTGATTTCTTTTTGTTATTGTTATAAAATTGTTATAAATTGTCATAATGGTATGAAACATATGCAAAATAAATTTGAAACGATTGTGAGTATTTACAATTTTGTTGCGCGCACTGACGCGCAGACGTACGCATACGCGCGTTCTTATTGACCTTGAATTAACCGGACAGATATTGATCTTGATCATGAGCTGATTTTCAAAAAATGGCGCCTAGATGACGTCACGATGACTTTGCGTCTGTGAAAAGTCACGCAGTTCTATAAGTTAGACTAATATCTATCATCATTGCCACTTCCATAATAACGGCTTGATTCAGTCTTGAGATATCCTGCGAACATATTCAAGCAAGAATGATAAATAAATAACTAGACTTGAATTTGTCACTTGATAAATTTGGTGATTGCATGTTTCTTTCTTTCTGTTTCCTTGTTTGCTCTTTATGTATAATGTCTCAATGAACAAGGAGCAATTGCTTTATATAAAAATGGTAGGTATGTAATCTGCTTTGACTCTATATCGTACCTGTTCCGCACGTAGGCCCAATATAGCCAGGAGCGCAGGCACAAGTAAAGGTGTCCACTCCATCAATGCAAGTTCCTCCATTCTCACAAGGATCGGGAGAACAATCGTTGATATCTGTGCAAATTGAGTTCCAAAGACAATAAATGGGATAAAAGGGATGAGAAAGTAATGTCCCTTTTGACATATTTATCTTCATTTGGCGGTAAACAGGTAAAATAAAGTCAAAAATGGCATTGTTAATACAACTAATGACAGTTCAGAAATAAATTCCTTCTTTTGTAAAACTACTAATACATAATTTAAATGAAGTAAATGAACTAAATATCTCTTTGAATGTTAGCATATTTTTTCAAAAATATGGCCTTAGAAAGAAGATATATTTTGAAAATATCTCATCGTACCACAAAACGAAGTGTGCCCCTGCCAGACAAGAAAATGTCACTAAAACAAATTTCCTTCATTTCAGCGTGAAATGATGTGTAAATGGACTCGGTACTTGGTACTTGGTTGGGTAATCCCTTTGGCAGCTCACTCAGGAAGCTATACTGGGATGGTAGGTGAGGCGAGTAACTACAAGGAGTGTCATGAATTGCTGGAATGGTGTGTGGACAAAGCACTTGTCAATTTACAGTAAAATATGCAAAGTCCAGTGCAAGTAAAAACCAAGCTAGTATTAAAGCTTATACGATGTGAGAACCAACAGGGGGCTGCATCATTCTGATGGAGGGTAGAACAGCCTCCTTAAAGTTGGTTATTCCTGTTGCATTGACTGCTGAGCCTGGCAGATAGTTCCAGATCCTTATTGCTCTTGGGTAGTATGAGAACTTGAAGGAGTCGATAGTTGCAACAGGAATTACATACTTCAGGTTGTGGTCGTGTCTTCCGAAGTATGTAGCAGGGATAACAATAGTTAGTGCAGGTATGGAGACAAGACGGTGATGGATCTTGTAGAGAAGGGTGCATTGGTCGAGGATTCGGCGTGTGTGAAGCGAGTCCCACCCTAGAGCTGCCACAAGAGCTGATGGTGATGTGGTGTATCTGTAATCACGGTACACAAAGCGAGCCGCTGTTCTTTGTACTTGCTCTAGCTTTTTTGTGACCGTGATGCTGTGTGGGCTCCAAGTCTCCGAGACATACTCCTATTGGGGGCGCACTAAGGCTGTGTAGGCCCTGGACTTTACATCGATCTAGACTTCCTCGATCTAGTTGTGACGTCAAATCCTGCCCTGGTTGGGTGCGTACAGTCTGGGATATCAGACCACGACATCTTCACTTTTACTCTTGCTGCAAATCCAAAGATCTCTGTCAAGCCCCTGAGGAAGATCTACCAGTTCCGCAAAGCTGACGAACAGCAACTGAGAGATGCAGCAGCTGAATTTGCAACAGAATTCCTCCAATCAGATCCAGAAAGTAGATCAGTGGAAACAAACTGGTCCATCATTGTCAACTTCTTGAACAGGTGTTTGTCTGAGCTAATTCCTTCCAAAATGTGCAAAGGAAGGAGACATCTTCCTTGGATTACTCCTCCTTGGAAGCGCCAGATGAGGAAGAGAGATAGACTATTTAAGAAGGCACACAACCAGTCTTGCTCCACAGCTTGGACAGCCTACCGACAATACAGGAACCAAGTTGCCAAGAATGTGCACAGAGCACGTTGCGAGTACATCAACAACATCATCGTGGCAAGCCTTAATGACAACCCAGAGTCTTTCTGGTCTTACATCAAGACATGTCGTTCTGAAAACATTGGTATTCCTACCTTGCGTACTCCATCTAAAATATGCGCCTCAGCATTAGACAAGGCAGAGACACTGAACGACTACTTCCAGTCTGTCTTTACTCCTCAACAGCCCACCCTCTTGTACAGAAAGGACCTTCTCCTTTTCCAACTATTGGTCACCTGCATGTTCACAGGACCGGTGTCGAGAAACGCCTCAAACGACTGAACCCTTCAAAGGCCAGCGGACCTGATGAACTTCCACCAAAGCTCCTAAAGCTGGTAGCTCACCAGATTGCTTCTCCACTGTCCTTCCTATTTCGACAAAGCTATAACAGTAGCATCGTTCCAGCCCGATGGAAACAGGCACTGGTTACCCCCGTCCTTTAGGATTTTATGGTCCTCAGACTCAAACTATATCGAAATATGAAGAAAATCGCAGTCCCTAAGCATACCAAACAGCTATAATGTTTTTTTTGTTGTTGCCCATATATGCCTTGTATTACAAGAGCTCGCGCGCACAGACATTTATCTTGAACGGACGCTCATTCTGTTATTAATAGTCATAAAGAGATAAACATGGTATCAAATTGTTCGGAAAGTATGGGAATATCATGAAGAAAGCAGAATGGCTCTATTATTGGTGAAAAAAGGCCCAGAGTAATTGTCGCAGGAGAATTTATGGAGCAAACAAAATTGGAGTATCACTAGTTTTAAAACTGACCTGTGATAGGGCCTTCACCGTAGATCTCCATACGAAGACTGATGTGACCAAACCATCTGACAGGCATCAAGCGGACATAGCGGCACATTTGGGGTACAGGCAGAGTGTTGGTCACGATGGTGTTGCGGTCAGAATTACCGGTGAAGATCTTCAATGAAAAAGGAAAATCAATCCATTTTTTAATGAATCAGGGGCGTAAATCCGTACCGAGGAGTGGGGGGGGGGGTGATCGGCGAAAGCCATCACATACTAGCACGAGCACACGCCCACACTAATTTACGCAAGCGTGCGCAACACACACACACGCACACACGCACACACACAAACGAACAAACAGCAAACACACACATACCCAAACACATGTACATAAATTTATACATGCATACATACATGCACGCACATGCCAAATTTGACAACTATAAAGTAAAAGAATTGGACATGTTTCGAAATACTGACAGCTGCAAACTGTAATGTTTTATTATAATGAACTCCGAAATAAGACGACACACTTTCAAGTAGTAACATAAAGATCGAGTATTTCGTCAGGAAGATGCGAACTCTTTATTTTGAGTCCCATCACTTAGAAAATGATGTATAATGGTACTACCACAGGAACATCATCACAAATGTTTCATTGGGGTAGGAAGCGCATTGTAAGTCATATTCCTTGTTTTCTCTTAAAGGAGAATTAACTTTAAAAAACATTGATCTATGACCAAATAGACAATTCTGAGTCCTTTCTGGAAAGCCTAGGACAGGCGCGGATCCAGGATTTCTTAGAGGAGGGGCCCAAATTTGAAATTATGCGAGCCAAATATTGGTACGTAATAGTGACCAGTATTGGCGTAATGAGGGGGGGGGGGGGGGCAGGGAGGTGCGATTTCCCCCTCCCTCCTCCGCAAAGCGCCGAAAATTTTGAAGTTTCATTTAATTATTAGAGAAAGAAGACTATTCGTTGTACCGTTCTCGACTCTTAATCCTCGTTTGAATTCAGTCCCCCCCCCCCTCCCACGCGAAGCGCGGAAGCTTTTACGTTTCATTAAATCATTAGAGAAAGAAGACTGTTCGTTGTACCGTTCTCGACAATTAATCCTCATCTGAATTCAGTTTTTCCTTCCCCCCTCCCGCGCGAAGCGGAGAAGCTTTTACGTTTCAATAAACCATTCGAGAAAGAAGACGATTCGTTGTACCGTTCTCGACTCATAATCCTCATCAGAATTCAGTTTTTCATTCCCCCCCCCCCTCCCGCGCGAAGCGCAGAAGCTTTTACGTTTCATTAAATCATTCGAGAAAGAAGACGATTCGTTGTACCGTTCTCGACTTTTAATCCTCATCTTAATTCTATTTTCCCTCCCCCTCCCCCCCCCCCCCCCCCCCCCGCGCGCAAGCGCGGAAGCTTTTACGTTTCATTAAATCATTAGAGAAAGAAGACGATTCGTTGTACCGTTCTCGACTTTTAATCCTCATCTGAATTCATGAATTCAGGCTTTCCCTTCCCCCGCCCGCGCGAAGCGCGGAAGCTTTTACGTTTCATTAAATCATTAGAGAAAGAAGACGATTCGTTGTACCGTTCTCGGCTCTTAATTTCTAAAACAGGGGGTGTTTTTTTTTTCTCTCTCTCTTTTGACTCCTGAGAAATGTAAAAAGGAGGTTATAAAATATCTTGAATATTATAGAAAAATTGATCAAATCCCGGGATCAAATTCCTGAAATTCCTGCTAACTTTGAAAGCTCATTCAGGCCTGATTATTTCATTTTGAAAAGTAAAAACATTGGCCCCCAGTCCCCCTCGATCGACTAGAGCTCACCTGAAATTGGGGGAGGGGGTGTGTGGTACATTTAGCAGTGTTCCGGATTTTTTTTTTTTTTTTTTTTTTTGGGGGGGGGTCTCCAAGGCAGGACAAGCCAGCGAAAAGCCGGCGAAAGGGGGATTTAGAAATGTTGGCAGTCCTGAGATAGGGTGGGTGTGCTTTAAAGGGAGGGAACGAGCATACGCGTACCCTAAATAACACTGAGTGGGGGGAGCCGGGCATCTACGGTACATGATTGCACTTTTTAATCGCTCGCGCGCTGGCGCGCTGGCGCACTTTACGTCTGGGCTATAATAATACCTTGCAAAATAACGAAAAATTATTCTGAAGTTTATGAAGTGCTCGTTCGTGCACGTCGCGCAACTACTCTTAATGATCGTGACATACTGTATACGTGTAGGCTATACAGTAATATACATACATAACAAAAAAACTCATTTCTCATGAGTTATGCTGAAATTAAAACAATCACTTTTGTTTTTCCTTCTTTTTATTCCTTTTTTTTCTCTTTTTTTTTAAAAATCTCAGGGGGGGGGGGATGTTTGTACAGGCCACCCTCCCTCCTTCGAGCCAGGGGGAGATGAAGCCCCCCCCCCATCCCCCCCCCCCCCCCGGGATTTACGCCCCTGGAATGAATTATAACTCAAATGATTCTGCGGTCAATTGCAATCGAACTAAAGAGAGTCGTATTAAGCATGCTGAATAATTCATATTTTTTCATGTTCAGTGCCTGTCCAATCGTTTCTATTTGAAGTTCAATTATTCTGATGACTTAAAATTCTAGTTTTCGAGACCTAGTAATAAAATAGGAAAAAACAGGATATGGATAGGGACCCCACTGGAAATAAGCTCTCGAGCTTTCGTGGGTTATCCTGTTCAAGCTGACTTATTTTTGATCTGTTATTATTGTATATTGTTGTATATTGGAAGCTTGTCGAATAAAAATCAATCAATCAATCGATTGAAGATTTTTTTGCTTGAAGTGCAGTACTTGCTCTGATATATTTACACATATAGACAGTTCTTCAATCCTACCTAATAGGTTTTCCTGTTATACTTTGTGTAAGCAGAATAGTAGATAATACACCTAACATATATATGTGTCCACGAGGTAACAATTGCGTTTTTCTTTAAAAGAAATTATCGTAACATGAAAACATTTTAATTGTTATCAAAAAGATTTCAAATGCCTTCAACTTTCTACAAGAATAGAGTCAATGTAATATTAGAAAGTGAATAATCAGAGAACGAACTTACCCTGTCAGCTCCAGGGTTTATAGAGATGCCCTGCACGGTGTGAAAGGTCGTGCCATCAGTACTACAAGCAAGCTTATAGCTTGTTACCCACTGGTTATAAGCTTGTCGCCCTTGAGTCGCAACTGAATTGATACGGTAAAGGTCCAAAAGATCCACCTTGTAGAAATAAAAGAATCGGAGGAAGATTTCTTGATGTTCGTCCTCTTAATCATATATTTTTTCTATCTCAATGACAAAATTTTAAACCAATGAGCATGTTCCAAAATATGTCAAATCTATATGATTTAAGTACAAATACTAAGAACGCCCCTCCAAGGGCAATATTTAAATTTAGAAGTTCTTCACATTGATGCTTTGATTGTCGATCTCATTTCTGAGTAACATCGTACAACTATATTAATGCCCTTAAAAATGAAAACAATTGTTGACTTAGATGTGAATAACTATGTTACTATGGCAATCTCATAGTAGCTTTACCTACCGAGTGGAGAGAAAATCTACGAACCCATATGTCACCTCAAAAAATGGCCAATAATAACAATTGTAACAGTGTAAGTGAATAGTACCATAGAAATGACTGGTGACTCTTTCATTGTTGACCTGATGTCAGCGTTGGAATATGAATTCATGCCATGCATAGAAATGGAGGGTGACTCTTATTACAGACTTTGTGGCAGTGTATGGATAAAAATCAAACTATAGCCTAAAATTTGACTGTTGACCCTTTCATTACTGATACGTCCGCAGCAGTGGGATATGAACCCATGACATAGAAATAAGGGTTGCCTAAATGTTTCGTGTTTGAATTGGCCTTAAGAAATGATTTGCTTTACCTGGATCCACTGGTTGGCATTGTTTGATCGTGCAGACCAGGCTCCACGCAGGGTTTTGACTTTCCTCACGTTAAGACGACCTCTCTTTGCACCATGGTCAGCACTTTCCTCACTGGAAGCTGTCATACTTGAATCTGGAATGACATAACTCTCAAGGCCCAGAGGGCGAGGGTCATTCAAGATGGCTGTAAGTTAATGCGTGACAATGTATAGCAAAATAAAGGAAGTGGTTGTCAAATAGGCAAATAAGATCGAATCCTCCAATCAGATTGACATACAATAGACAAGTGTGTAGTTACATTCTGGGCATGAGCAGAAAAAAAAGATTATTTGTAGAAATTGTAAGGCCCTCTCCAAGACAAGTACTTGATATTTTCTCATGTTCTACAGGTAGATGTATTCCTTTGAATTGAGGGGAATCAAAAGCTATTCGAGGAGACCTATCCATGTTTAAAACATCAGTGGATATATATATGGAGGCATTTTGAACCAGTCAACTTATAGTGGTAAGTGCGGCCGTTTTGGTCTGGGGACGCATGGCTTCATGTCATAGAAGAGATAGAGTTCGAGCTATTACTGAAGTTAAGGACTTTGGTTGATCGGAGAGCTATTTTTATCAGAGCATGTTTCATAAAACCTTGAGTCCCTTTTCATGTTTACATATAGATGAATAATAGATTAATGAACTAGATTGACCACAAACTTTCTGGACTGTAAATAGTAGTCTTTGCTAGTTAAACTACATCGTAGAATACGGCTATGATTGGCTGTAGATCAACATTATTTCGGAAATGACCGTTCTAGATTCAGACAAAAAAAACACTAACTACTATCTCCTGAACAACCTACCCACCAGGAAAATGCACCCTTGGACATGTATGCCAACAAATATTCTAACTTGGTCTACTATTCCCTGGAAAACCTACCCACTAAGACAATGCACCCGTGGACATGTACCCCCACAGACTACCTTGACTTGGTCAACCATTCCCTGGACAACCAACCCACTAAGATGATGCACCCTTGGACATGGATCCAAAAAGACTACTCTACCATCCCCTAAGCCAATAGGGACTTTTAGATTTGCATGTCGACAGCTTTGACTGCAACGTGTGCACGCGTGCACGCTTAACTTCCTGCATGCATGTATATCGTCGAGTGAAATCTAAAAGATTTCTAATTGTAGTCAACATGGGCAATTGAGTACGTTGACACGCATGATCAGTCGGCGTTCGTCGTGTTCTCGTCCACTCAATCTAAAAGTCCCTATTATCCCCTAGAGCGCTACCGCTTGCCTCAAGACATCTATCTCTTTAGGATTTCCATCTCCTAGGACAGTGTACCCCTACCACATTCCTATCAGATTTCTAGGATAATAGACCATGGGTGAACTTGACCTTAACAGGTGTCTGGTGCACATAGAGTGATTTCAAGTTCGGTGATTAAGGCTGGTGTAAGTGTTTAATAAACACTAACACCAGCCTAAACACTGAAATGGAAATCAGCTGGTGTTAAGGCTTTGACCTCTGAATATCATCAACTTCCGGTGGCTAGTGTTATCGATTTTGCAAAATTGTCGTCTGCTGAACTGACCTTTGTGGCTGGTGTTAATATTTTACGTACACATGTCCTATTCACTAACACTAGCCCCTAGGGAGTAAGCAAATGTTGATTTCCAGTTCGGTGTTAGTGTTGCACCCGCACAACATTCAACGCACGAACGACGCCAATTTATTGTCTGACGATCAAATACAAAATTGGTGAAGCAGGCAATTCATATATTTTTGTGTGTAAAATGAGTTATTTTATAAGACCAGAGAAATAGGTGTAAATTTATTCTGTACTTTTCATGAAATCTTTAGTTTTGGTGTACTATTTTTAAATCATCGTCGTGAAATTAAGTATGTGGTGACGTCACAGCTGGTGTTAAGCTATCGATTTTGGTATCGGTATCGGGCTCTTAATTTCATCAGCAAATTTTCCGCTCGATTTAAGAGCTCTTGACTGCTCTTAACACTAACACTAACACCCAACTTGAAATCACTCACTGTCCTAACTTTTTAACTCTGGACAAAAACAATTTAGAAATTAGCCCGGGGGACTGGGGGACATGCAAAGAGATCCTCAAAATTTCAATCTTAAGCCTCTCTTAAAAGAAGAATGAGGAGCCCTGCCGTGTTTATAAGTCAATTGCCTTCTACAAATCGAATTCTTAGGTATAACAACCCTCCACACCAAATGCCATATATAGCATGATAACCGAAGTTTTAAATTCATCCCTTAAACGAGGACTATACCTTACCCTATCTCTGAACCTAATCTAAAACTCAACTAGACTTGAATTCGTCACTCAACGAATTAGGTGATACGTATTCAAATGTGTTACATAATGAAGAACGCATTTTCACGATTTCATCTACAGTTATGAAATACTCCTCCTATTATGGTCTGTCCATTAAATAAGTTTCAACTGTGTAGCATTGATCATTTTGGATCTATGAAAGATGGTCGCCGGAATGGGAGGCAAATGCCATGATCAATATACCAAAAGATCCACATAGACATAACACGGAAACGGAAAATCTGATTCTCAAATTAAGCTGGCAGAAAAGAATCGAGATATTGCTCAAACAAGACTGGAATGTAGAATAAAGATTTCAGAAAAAGTCACCTCCCATAGAGAATACACGCAAAAGTGGGAAAATTGACATGCCTCTTTTACTCGAAAGAATGGACAACGTTGCCATTGTTGAAATGAAAAATCAATGGCACCTTTTGTGAAGAAAATCGGCTCAAAATCTACGTAACAAAAATTGGGAGAAAAGCTATCAACAGTTATATAGATGTAATCAAATTTCCATAAACTTGCTGACGTCATAATATGCAATTATTTTTCTTAGTTCCACGATCATTATGTTGACGTCACGATGTACTTAATGCCAAATGAGGCATGCAATCATATCTCCGACTCAAAGTGAAAATCTCATCGTCCCACAAAACGTAGTGTGCCCCTGCCAAACTAGAAAATGTCACTAACAAATTTCTTCCATTTGGGCGTGAAATGAATGTGAAAATGGATGCGGAAATGGCATGATCTTGGAGACACCTCAGCACCAAAAGTTGAATCGCTAAAATCAAGATGAATCATACCAGTCTTAGCATACCCTAAAACAAATCATAATTATCAGAGATCGTTGTGGTAATCACAATATCAAATTTGCTCTTAAAAGTAACAGGCACTCCCACTTTTCATGTGTCTAATCAAAATCAAGATAAGTGTAGTTTATCTCATTACTGCACCAAACGGTGAGACACCCTCGCATCTTTTGTCTGTACTTTCACTCCTGTTGACTGTCAATCAAGAAAAACCTCCAAGGTTTTCCTCACCAAGGACTGCATGTTTCTTTCTTTCTATTTCCTCGTTTGCTCTCTATCTATAATGCCTTGATTAACAAGGAGCAATTGCTTTGTATACAAAGTGTAGGTATGTAATCTGCTTTGACTCTATATCGTACCTGTTCCGCACGTAGGCCCGGTATAGCCTCGAGCGCAGGCACAAGTAAAGATGTTCACTCCGTCACTGCACCTTCCTCCATTCTCACAAGGATCGGGGAGACAATCGTTGATATCTGTGCAAATTGAATTCCAAATTATAATTATCAAAGATCGTTGTGGTAATCACAATGTCAAATTTGCTCATGAAAGTACAATGCACTCCCATTTTTCACGTGTCTACTCAAAATCAAGAAGAGCGTAGTTTATCTCATTATTGCAACAAAAGGTGAAACGCCCTCCCACCTTTTGTCTGTACTTTCATTCCTGTTGACTGTCAATCAAGAAAAACCTCCAAGGCTTTCCTCACCAATGACTGCCTATTTCATTCTTTCTGTTTCCTTGTTTGCTCTTTATCTATAATGTCTTGATTAACAAGGAGCAATTGCTTTAAATAAAAAGTGTAGGTATGTAATCTGCTTTGACTCTATATCTTACCTGTTCTGCACGTTGTCCCAGTATAGCCAGGGGCGCAGGCACAAGTAAAGGTGTTCACTCCATCACTGCAAGTTCCTCCATTCTCACAAGGATCGGGAGAACAATCGTTGATATCTGTGCAAATTGAGTTCCAAAGACAATCAATGGGATAAAAGGGATGAAAAAATAATGTCCCTTTTGACATATTTCTTTTCATTTGGCGGTGACCAGGTAAAATAAAGTAAAAATTGGCATTCTTAATACAAATAAAAACAGTTTAGGAATAAATTCCTTCATTTGTAAAACTATTAATACATAATTCAAGTGAAGTAAATCAACTAAATATCTCTTAGAATGTTAAAATCTTTTTTCAAAAATATGGCCGTAGAAAGAAAATATATTTTGAAACAATCTCATCGTCCCTCAAATCGAAGTGTGCCCCTGCCAGACAAGAAAATGTCATTAAAACAAATTTCTATCATTTCGGCGTGAAATGAATGTAATAATGGCATGAGATAGTCTGATCTTCAAGACACCTCAGCACCAAAAATTAAATCGCTATAATCAGGATGAATCATACTAGTCTTATCATATCCTAAAACAAATCATAATTATCAGAGATCGTTGTGGTAATCACTATTTCAAACGTGCTCTTTAAAGTACCATGCACTCCCATTTTACATGTGTTTACTCAAAATAAATAGGAGTGTAGTTTATCTCTTTACTGCACCAAAAGGTAAAACACTTTTGCATCTTTTGTCTGTACTTTCACTCCATTTGACTGTAAACCCCCCCCCCCAAAAAAAAAAAAAAAAAAAAAAACTCAAAAGCTTTCCTCACCAATGACTTCATGTTTCTTTCTCTCTATTTCCTTGTTTGCTTCTTATCTATAATGTCCTGATGAACAAGGAGCAATTGTTTTCCATACAAAGTTTAGGAATTTCATCTGCTTTAAATCTATATCTTACCTGTTAAGCACGTAGGCCCAGTATATCCAGGGGCGCAGGCACAAGTAAAGGTGTTCATTCCATCACTGCAAGTTCCTCCGTTCTCACAAGGATCAGGAGAACATTCGTTGATATCTGTGCAAATTTGGTTCCAAATCATGATTATCAGAGATCGTTGTGGTAATCACAATGTCAAATTTGCATTTGAAAGTACCATGCACTCCCATTTTTCTTGTGTCTACTCAAAATCAAGAAGAATGTAGCTTATTTCATTACTGCACCAAAAGGTGTAACACTCTCACATCTTTTGTCTGTACTTTCACTCCTGTTGACTGTCAATCATGGAAAACCACCAAGGTTTTCCTCACCAATGACTGCCTATTTCTTTCTTTCTGTTTCCTTGTTTGCTCGTTATCTATAATGTCTTGATTAACAAGGAGCAATTGCTTTAAATAAAAGGTGTAGGTATGTAATCTGCTTTGACTCTATATCTTACCTGTTCCGCACGTTGTCCCAGTATAGCCAGGGGCGCAGGCACAAGTAAAGGTGTTCACTCCATCACTGCAAGTTCCTCCATTCTCACAAGGATCGGGAGAACAATCGTTGATATCTGTGCAAATTGAATTCCAAATTATAATTATCAAAGATCGTTGTGGTAGTCACAATGTCAAATTTGCTCATGAAAGTACCATGCACTCCCATTTTTCATGTGTCTACTCAAAATCAAGAAGAATGTAGTTTATCTCGTTACTGCACCAAAAGGTGAAACACTCTCACAACTGCTGTCTTTACTTTCACTCCTGTTGACTGTCAATCATGGAAAACCACCAAGGCTTTCCTCACCAATGACTGCCTATTCCTTTCTTTCTGTTTCCTTGTTTGCTCGTTATCTATAATGTCTTGATTAACAAGGAGCAATTGCTTTAAATAAAAAGTGTAGGTATGTAATCTGCTTTGACTCTATATCTTACCTGTTCCGCACGTTGTCCCAGTATAGCCAGGGGCGCAGGCACAAGTAAAGGTGTTCGCTCCATCACTGCAAGTTCCTCCATTCTCACAAGGATCGGGAGAACAATCGTTGATATCTGTGCAAATTGAGTTCCAAAGACAATCAATGGGATAAAAGGGATGAAAAAATAATGTCCCTTTTGACATATTTCTTTTCATTTGGCGGTGACCAGGTAAAATAAAGTAAAAATTGGCATTCTTAATACAAATAAAAACAGTTTAGGAATAAATTCCTTCATTTGTAAAACTATTAATACATAATTCAAGTGAAATAAATCAACTAAATATCTCTTTGAATGTTAAAATCTTTTTTCAAAAATATGGCCGTAGAAAGAAAATATATTTTGAAACAATCTCATCGTCCCTCAAAACGAAGTGTGCCTCCTGCAAGACAAGAAAATGTCATTAAAACAAATTTCTATCATTTCGGCGTGAAATGAATGTAATAATGGCATGAGATAGTCTGATCTTCAAGACACCTCAGCACCAAAACTTAAATCGCTACAATCAGGATGAATCATAGCAGTCTTAACATACCCTAAAACAAATCATAATTATCAGAGATCGTTGTGGTAATCACAATTTCAAATGTGCTCTTGAAAGTACCATGCACTCCCATTTTACATGTGTCTACTCAAAATAAATAGGAGTGTAGTTTATCTCTTTACTGCACCAAAAGGTAAAACACTTTTGCATCTTTTGTCTGTACTTTCACTCCATTTGACTGTAACCCCCCCCCCCCCCAAAAAAAAAAAAAACTCAAAAGCTTTCCTCACCAATGACTTCATGTTTCTTTCTCTCTATTTCCTTGTTTGCTTCTTATCTATAATGTCCTGATGAACAAGGAGCAATTGTTTTCCATACACAGTTTAGGAATGTAATCTGCTTTAAATCTATATCTTACCTGTTAAGCACGTAGGCCCCGTATATCCAGGGGCGCAGGCACAAGTAAAGGTGTTCATTCCATCACTGCAAGTTCCTCCATTCTCACAAGGATCAGGAGAACATTCGTTGATATCTGTGCAAATTTGGTTCTAAATCATGATTATCAGAGATCGTTGTGGTAAGCACAATGTCAAATTTGCTCTTGAAAATACCATGCACTCCGTTTTCATGTGTCTACTCAAAATCAAGAAGAATGTAGTTTATCTCATTGCTGCACCAAAAGGTGAAACACTTTCACATCTTTTGTCTGTACTTTCACTCCTTTTGACTTTCAATCAAGGAAAACCTCCAAGGTTTTCCTCACCAATGACTGCATATTTCTTTCGTTCTATTTCCTTGTTGCTCTTTATCTATAATGTCTTGATGAACAATGAGCAATTGATTTATATAAAAATTGTAGGTATGAAATCTACTTTGACTGTTTATATACCTGTTACGCACGTAGGCCCAGTATAGCCAGGAGCGCAGGCACAAGTAAAGGTGTTCACTCCATCACTGCAAGTTCCTCCATTCTCACAAGGATTGGGAGAACATTCGTCGATATCTGTGCAAATTGAGTTCCAAATCATAATTATCAGAGATCGTTGAAGTAATCACAATGTCAAATATGCTCATGAGAGTACCATGCACTCCCATTTTTCATGTGTCTACTCAAAATCAAGAAAAGTGTAGTTTATCTCATTACTGTAACAAAAGGTGAAATGCCCTCCCATCTTTTGTCTGTACTTTCACTCCTGTATACTGCCAATCAGGACAAACCTCCAAGGTTTTCCTCACCAATGACTGCCTATTTGTCTCATTTTGTTTCCTTGTTTGCTCTTTATCTTTAATGTCTTGATGAACAAGGAGAAATTGCTTTATATAAAAAGTGTAGGTATGTAATCTGATTTGATTCTTTATCTTACCAGTTCCGCACGTAGGCCCAGTATAGCCAGGAGCGCAGGCACAAGTAAAGGTGTTCACTCCATCACTGCAAGTTCCTCCATTCTCACAAGGATTGGGAGAACATTCGTCGATATCTGTGCAAATTGAGTTTCAAATCATAATCATCAGAGAGAGATCGTTGTGGTAATCACAATGTCGAATTTGCTCTAGAAAGTACCATGCACTCTCATTTTTCATGTGTGTACTCGCAATCAAGAAGAGTGTAGTTTATCTCACTAATGCAACGAAAGGTGAAACGCCCTCGCATCTTTTGTCTGTACTTACACTCCTGTCTACAGCCAATCAAGACAAACCTCAAAGGTTTTCTTCACCAATGACTGCATGTTTCTCTCTTTCTATTTCCTTGGTTGCTCTTTATATACAATATCTTGACGAACACGGAGCAATTGCTGTATATAAATAGTGTAAGTATGTATGGCGGAAATCATCGAATGACGATGGAAACGCCATTAATCGCAACAACAACAACAACAACAATCTGCTTTGACTCTATGTCTTACCTGTTCCGCAGGTAGGCCCAGTATAGCCAGGAGCGCAGGCACAAGTAAAGCTGTCCACTCCATCACTGCACCTTCCTCCATTCTCACAAGGATCGGGAGAACATTCGTTGATATCTTTGCAAATTGGTTTCCAAATCATGATTATCAGAGATCGTTGGGGTAATCACAATGTCAAATTTGCTCTTGAAGTACCATGCACTCCCATTTTTCATGTGTCTACTCAAAATCATGAAGAATGTAGTTTATCTCATTACTGCACCAAAAGGTCAAACACTCTCACATCTTTTGTCTGTATTGTTACTCCTGTTGACTGTCAATCAAGGAAAACCTCCAAGGTTTTCCTCACCAATGACTGCATATTTCTTTCTTTCTATTTCCTTGTTGCTCTTTATCTATAATGTCTTCATGAACAACGTGCAATTGCTTTATATAAAAAGTGTAGGTATGAAATCTACTTTGACTCTATATATTACCTGTTACGCACGTAGGCCCAGTATAGCCAGGAGCACAGGCACAAGTAAAGATGTTCACCCCATCACTGCAAGTTCCTCCATTCTCACAAGGATTGAGAGAACATTCGTTGATATCTGGAAAATTGGGTTCCAAATCATGATTATCAGAGATCGTTGTGGTAATCACAATGTCAAATTTGCTTATGAAAGTACCATGCACTCCCATTTTTCATGGGTCTACTCGAAATCAAGAAGAGTGTAGTTTATCTAATTACTGCAACAAAAGGTGAAATGCCCTCGCATCTTTTGTTTGTACTTTCATTCCTGTCTACTGTTAATCAAGAAAAACCTCCAATGGTTTTCCTCACCAATGACTGCCTATTTCTCTCATTTTGTTTCCTTGTTTGCTCTTTATCTTTAATGTCTTGATGAACAAGGAGAAATTGCTTTATATAAAAAGTGTAGGTATGTAATCTGATTTGACTCTTTATGTTACCAGTTCCGCACGTAGGCCCAGTATAGCCAGGAGCGCAGGCACAAGTAAAGGTGTTCACTCCATCACTGCAGGTTCCTCCATTCTCACAAGGATTGAGAGAACATTCGTCGATATCTGTGCAAATTGAGTTCCAAATCATAATCATGAGAGATCGTTGTGGTAATCACAATGTCAAATTTGCTCTATAAAAAGTACCATGCACTTCAATTTTCCATGTGTGTACTCGCAATCAAGAAGAGTGTAGTTTATCTCACTAATGCAACAAAAGGTGAAACGCCCTCGCATCTTTTGTCTGTACTTTCACTCCTGTTGACTGTCAATCAAGGAAAACCTCCAAGGTTTTCCTAACCAATGACTGCATATTTATTTCTTTCTATTTCCTTGTTGCTCTTTATCTATAATGTCTTGACGCACACGGAGCAATTGCTTTATATAAAAAGTGTAGGTATGTAATCTACTTTGACTCTATATATTTCTGTTACGCACGTAGGCCCAGTATAGCCAGGAGCGCAGGCACAAGTAAAGGTGTTCACTCCATCACTGCAAGTTCCTCCATTCTCACAAGGATTGGGAGAACATTCGTCGATATCTGTGCAAATTGAGTTCCAAATCATAATTATCAGAGATCGTTGAAGTAATCACAATGTCAAATATGCTCATGAGAGTACCATGCACTCCCATTTTTCATGTGTCTACTCAAAATCAAGAAAAGTGTAGTTTATCTCATTACTGTAACAAAAGGTGAAATGCCCTCCCATCTTTTGTCTGTACTTTCACTCCTGTATACTGCCAATCAGGACAAACCTCCAAGGTTTTCCTCACCAATGACTGCCTATTTGTCTCATTTTGTTTCCTTGTTTGCTCTTTATCTTTAATGTCTTGATGAACAAGGAGAAATTGCTTTATATAAAAAGTGTAGGTATGTAATCTGATTTGATTCTTTATCTTACCAGTTCCGCACGTAGACCCAGTATAGCCAGGAGCGCAGGCACAAGTAAAGGTGTTCACTCCATCACTGCAAGTTCCTCCATTCTCACAAGGATTGGGAGAACATTCGTCGATATCTGTGCAAATTGAGTTTCAAATCATAATCATCAGAGAGAGATCGTTGTGGTAATCACAATGTCAAATTTGCTCTAGAAAGTACCATGCACTCCCATTTTTCATGTGTGTACTCGCAATCAAGAAGAGTGTAGTTTATCTCACTAATGCAACGAAAGGTGAAACGCCCTCGCATCTTTTGTCTGTACTTACACTCCTGTCTACTGCCAATCAAGACAAACCTCAAAGGTTTTCTTCACCAATGACTGCATGTTTCTCTCTTTCTATTTCCTTGGTTGCTCTTTATATCCAATGTCTTGACGAACACGGAACAATTGCTGTATATAAATAGTGTAGGTATGTATGGCAGAAATCATCGAATGACGATGGAAACGCCATTAATCGCAACAACAACAACAACAACAACAACAACAATCTGCTTTGACTCTATGTCTTACCTGTTCCGCACGTAGACCCAGTATACCCAGGAGCGCAGGCACAAGTAAAGCTGTCCACTCCATCACTGCACCTTCCTCCATTCTCACAAGGATCGGGAGAACATTCGTTGATATCTTTGCAAATTGGGTTCCAAATCATGATTATCAGAGATCGTTGTGGTAATCACAATGTCAAATTTGCTCTTGAAGTACCATGCACTCCCATTTTTCATGTGTCTACTCAAAATCAAGAAGAATGTAGCTTATTTCATTACTGCACCAAAAGGTGTAACACTCTCACATCTTTTGTCTGTACTTTCACTCCTCTTGACTGTTAATCATGGAAAACCTCCAAGGTTCTCCTCACAAATGACTGCATATTTATTTCTTTCTATTTCCTTCTTTGCTCTTTATCTATAATGTCTTGATGAAAAAGGAGCAATTGCTTTATATAAAAGTGTACGTTTGTAATCTGCTTTGACTCTATATATTACCTGTTCCGCACGTAGGTCCAGTATAGCCAGGAGCGCAGGCACAAGTAAAGCTGTCCACTCCATCACTGCACCTTCCTCCATTCTCACAAGGATCGGGAGAACATTCGTTGTTATCTGTGCAAATTGGGTTCCAAATCATGATTATCAGAGATCGTTGTGGTAATCACAATGTCAAATTTGCTCTTGAAGTACCATGCACTTCCATTTTCCATGTGTCTACTCAAAATCAAGAAGAATGTAGCTTATTTTATTACTGCACCAAAAGGTGTAACACTCTCACATCTTTTGTCTGTACTTTCACTCCTCTTGACTGTTAATCATGGATAACCTCCATCAAAATGTCAAATTTGCTATTAAAAGTTTCATTCACTCCTATGTTTCATGTGCCTACTCAAATTCAATAGGAGTGTACAAACAACTTTATTTCACTTGGGCGTGAAATGAATGTGAAAATGGACGCAGTAATGGCATGAGAAACCTCAGCACCAAAAGTTGAATCGCTTTAATGAGGATGAATCATACCAATCTTTATCCTACCCTAAAACAAATCATTACTATACTTGAATTTGTCACTTGACAAATTAGGTTATTCGTATTCTAATATACATAATGAAGAACACGTTTTCACGATTTTAATTTTATTAAAAAAATGTTTGAACCCACCGGGAATCGAATCTGGGTCGCCGGAATGGTAGGCAAGTGCTTAGACCACTATACCAAAAAATTCAATATAGACATTACACGTAAACGGATATTGAGTTTCTCAAATCACATTTTTTAGTTAAAATATCACCACGATCCCAACATCTGATCAAAAGTAAATGTCACCTTTGGTGTAGAGAATTTTTGCAGTTACAGCATATCCGAAGCTGGCAGGAAATCGAGCGAAAAATCGAGATATTGCTCAAACAAGACTGGAAAGTATAATGAAGATTTCTGAAAAATCGTTGATATCTGTGCAAATTGGGTTCCAAATCATAATTATCAGAGATCGTTATGGTAATCACAATGTCAAATTTGCTCTAGAAAGTACCATGCACTTCAATTTTCCATGTGTGTACTCGCAATCAAGAAGAGTGTAGTTTATCTCACTAATGCAAGAAAAGGTGAAACGCCCTCGCATCTTTTGTCTGTACTTTCACTCCTGTCTACTGTCAATCAAGACAAACCTCAAAGGTTTTCTTCACCAATGACTGCATGTTTCTCTCTTTCTATTTCCTTGGTTGCTCTTTATCTACAATGTCTTGACGAACACAGAGCAATTGCTGTATATAAAGAGTGTAGGTATGTAATCTGCTTTGACTCTATTTCTTACCAGTTCCGCACGTAGGCCCAGTATAGCCGGGAGCGCAGGCACAAGTAAAGGTGTTCGCTCCATCACTGCACCTTCCTCCATTCTCACAAGGATCGGGAGAACATTCGTTGATATCTGTGCAAATTGGGTTCCAAATCATAATCATCAGAGATCGTTGTGGTAATCACAATGTCAAATATGCTCTAGAAAGTACCATGCACTTCAATTTTTCATGCGTGTACTCGCAATCAAGAGGAGTGTAAATTATCTCTTTACTGCAAAAAAAGGTGAAACGCCCTCGCATCTTTTGTCTGTACTTTCACTCCTGTCTACTGTCAATCAAGACAAACCTCAAAGGTTTTCTTCACCAATGACTGCATATTTCTCTCTTTCTATTTCCTTGGTTGCTCTTTATCTACAATGTCTAGACGAACACGGAGCAATTGCTGTATATAAAAAGTGTAGGTATGTAATCTGCTTTGACTTTATATTTACCTGTTCCGCACGTAGGTCCAGTATAGCCAGGAGCGCAGGCACAAGTAAAGCTGTCCACTCCATCACTGCACCTTCCTCCATTCTCACAAGGATCGGGAGAACATTCGTTGTTATCTGAGTGTGCAAATTGGGTTCCAAATCATGATTATCAGAGATCGTTGTGGTAATCACAATGTCAAATTTGCTCTTGAAGTACCATGCACTCCCATTTTTCATGTGTCTACTCAAAATCAAGAAGAATGTAGCTTATTTCATTACTGCACCAAAAGGTGTAACACTCTCACATCTTTTGTCTGTACTTTCACTCCTCTTGACTGTTAATCATGGAAAACCTCCAAGGTTCTCCTCACAAATGACTGCATATTTATTTCTTTCTATTTCCTTCTTTGCTCTTTATCTATAATGTCTTGATGAAAAAGGAGCAATTGCTTTATATAAAAGTGTACGTATGTAATCTGCTTTGACTCTATATATTACCTGTTCCGCACGTAGGTCCAGTATAGCCAGGAGCGCAGGCACAAGTAAAGCTGTCCACTCCATCACTGCACCTTCCTCCATTCTCACAAGGATCGGGAGAACATTCATTGATATCTGTGCAAATTGAGTTCCAAAGACAATAGATGGGATAAAAGGGATGAGAAAATAATGTCCCTTTTGACATATTTATCTTCGCTCGGCGGTAATCAGGTAAAATAAAGTCAAAACTGGCATTCTTAATACAAATAATGACAGTTCAGGAATGAATTTCTTCATTTGTAAAACTATTAATACATAATTCAAATGAAGTAACTGAACTAAATATCTTTTTGAATGTTAGCATATTTTTTCTTCAAAAATATGGCCTTAGAAAGAAAATACATTTTGCAAAAATCTCATCGTCCCACAAAAGGTAGTGTGCCCCTGCCCGACAAGAAAATGTCACTTCAACAAATTTCTTTCATTTTGGCGTGATATGAATGTGAAAATGGACGCGGAAATGGAATGATGTTCAAGACACCTCATCATCACAAGTTGAATCGCTAAAATTAGGATGAATCATACCAGTCTTAACATACCCTAAAACAAATCATAATTATCAGAAATCGTTGTGGTAATCAAAATGTCAAATTTGCTATTAAAAGTTTCATTCACTCCTATGTTTCATGTGCCTACTTAAATTCAATAGGAGTGTATAAACAAATTTATTTCACTTGGTCGTGAAATGAATGTGAAAATGGACGCAGTAATGGCAAGAGAAACCTCAGCACCAAAAGTTGAATCGCTTTAATGAGGATGAATCATACCACTCTTTATCCTACCCTAAAACAAATCATTACTATACTTGAATCACTTGACAAATTAGGTAATTTGTATTCTAATATTCATGATGAAGAACACGTTTTCACGATTTTAATTTTATTTAAAATATGTTTGAACCCACCGGGAATCGAATCTGTGTCGCCGGAAAGGGAGGCAAGTGCTTAGACCACTATACCAACAAATTCAATATAGACATTACACGTAAACGGATATTGAGTTTCTCAAATCACATTTTGTAGTGAAAATATCACCACGATCCCAACATCTGATCAAAAATAAATGTCACCTTTGGTGTAGAGAATTTTCGCATTTACAGCATATCCGAAGCTGGCAGGAAATCGAGCGAAAAATCGAGATATTGCTCAAACAAGACTGGAAAGTATAATGAAGATTTCAGAAAAAGTCACCTCCCATAGAGAATCATTACACGCAAAATTGGGAAACTTGACATGCCTCCTTTAATCGAAAGAGTGTACCATGACGCAATTGTTTAAATGAAAAATAAATAGATTATTCTATGTAGACGATTTTCTCAGCTACAACATATCAAACATTGGGAGAAAAATGATCAATATTTACAGATTAACACTCAATTTTCAATAAATATGCTGACGTCATTATATGTAAATTCGTATTTTGAGTTCGAAGGCCATTATGATGACATCACGATGTACTTCATGGCCAAATGAGACATGAAATCATATCTCCGACCCATACTCTATCTAAATAATTTATGTAGAAAAAAAGGGGGTCCCCGAGCATCCCAAAGAGCTATAATGGATTTTTATAGGCATGTTTTTTTCCCATATATGGTCGGTATTACAAGAGCTCGCGCGCACGGACATTTATCTTGAACGGACGCTCATTCCGTTATTAATAGTCAAAATAAACATGATATCATATTGTTTGGAAAATATGTGGAATATCATGAAGAAAGTAGAATGGCTCTATTATTGGTGAAAAGGGGCCCAGAGTAATTTTCGCAAGAGAAATTTAATATGGAGCAAAAAATGTTGGAGTATCACTAGTTTTAAAACTGACCTTCGCGGAAGATCTGCATACGAAGACTGATTTGGCCGTACCAGCTGACAGGCATCAAGCGAATATAGCGGCAAAATTGGGGTACAGGCAGAGTGTTGGTCACGATGGTGTTGCGGTCAGAATTACCGGTGAAGATCTTCATTAAAAAAGGAAAATCAATCCACTTTTGAATGAATTATGACTCGAATGATTCTGCGGTCAATTGCAATCGAACTAAAGAGAGTCTAATTAAGCATGATGAATAAAACATATTTTTGCATGTTCAGTGCCTGTCCATTCGTTTCTACTTGAAGTTATATTCTGGTTACATGATTTTCAGGTTTTCGATACCTAGTAATCACATAGGGAAAAATATGATATGGATTGAAGATTTGTTGCTTGAAGTGCATTCTTGCTCTAATATATTTACAAATATAGACAGTTCTTTAATCCTACTTAATACTTGTATACTTATACTTTGTGTATTCAGAATAGTAGATAATACACCTAACATGTATATGTGTACCAGAGGTAAACATTGAAAATGATTAGAAAATGAATAACCAGAGAACAAACTTACCCTGTCAGCTCCAGGGTTTGTAGAGATGCCCTGCACGGTGTGAAAGGTCGTGCCATCAGTACTACAAGCAAGCTTGTAGCTTTGTACCCACTGGTCAGAATCTTGTCGCCCTTGAGTCGCAACTGAAATGATTTTGTAACGGTCCAAAAGATCCATCTTGCAGAAAGAAAAGAATCGGAGGAAGCTTTCTTGATGTTCATCCTCTTAATCATCTATCTTTTCTCCATGACAAACAAATTTAACCAATGAGCATGTTCCAAAATGTGTCAAATAAATATGAATTAAGTACAAATACTAAGAACGCCCCTCCAAGGGCAATATTTAAATTAGAAGTTCTCCACATTGGTGCTTTAATTGTCGATCTCATTTCTGAGTAATATCGAACTATTAACTATATTAATTCCCTTAAAAATGAAAACAATTGTTGACTTAGATGTGAATAGTTATGTGTAAGTGAATAGTGCCATAGAAATGACTGGTGACTCTTTCGTAGCGGTGGAATATGAATTCATGTCATGCATAGAAATGACGGTGACTCTAATATTGCAGACTTTGTGGCAGTATATGGATACAAATCAAACTATTGCCTAAAATTTGACTGTTAACCCTTTCATTACTGATACGGTGGCAGCAGTGGGATATGAACCCATGACATATAAATAAGGGTTGCCTAAATGTTTCGTGTTTGAATTGGCCTTAAGAAATGATTTGCTTACCTGGATCCACTGGTTGGCATTACTTGATCGTGCAGACCGGGCACCATGGTTAGCACTATACTCAGTGGAAGCAGTCATACTTGAATCTGGAATGGCATAACTCTCAAGGCCCAGAGGGACAGGGTCATTCAAGATGGCTGTAAGTTAATGCGTGACAATGTATAGCAAAATATAGGAAGTGGTGGTCAAATAGGCAAATATAATAAGATTATATTTATATATGTTTTAAAACTAGATAATGAAGGGCGGTTCTTTATTTCGGACCCTAGACTATTCCACAATTTAGGACCACCATATTTCATTGTGGTACGGGAAAATTCATACTTAAATTTTGAAATCCGAATGTGGTTTGACTGCAGTAAGGTACAAAAGAACAGTTTTTTGGGAAACAACATTTAAAAACATTGGCAGTACAGACCGTACGGAAACGTAAAACTGGCTAATTGCAACTTGTGTATAATAATCCTGAACTTTCAACTGTCTAGCTTTCACAAATAGAGGATCCGTGTGTGCTAAGGGTGCTGAACCAGAAATAATTCGTATTGCTCTTTTTCGTAAAATTATATTTCTAACATACATTATAATTATAACCGCTATTATTATCCAATGTGGTTGGTTTGGAATCGGTTTCAGGTCGGTTCGGCGGTGTGAATGACGAATACATACTTCAGTCAAACCAACGAGACTGCCACGAGAACGACTACAAACCGAGCTGAAAATGATGGTAACCGCTAGTACGACCAAAATCTGTTCGGTTTGGAATCGGTTTCAGGTCGGTTCGGCGGTGTGACTGACGGATACATACTTTAGTCACACCAACGAAGCTGACACCAGACAAAAACAAAACAGAACAGAAAATCCACAGCCCCTTATAGTGGCTACAAATTGGTCGATTTGTCGTCGGCGTGGATTCAGTTTAGCCGTGTGACAGAAGTATAAGACAGAGAAAGAGAGAGATTAGGAAAATATAAGAAGAGAAGAGAGAGACATTTAAGAGAAAATGATAAATTATTGAGAAAGAGAGATAGAGAGAGAGAGAGAGAAGTAAGAGGGGTAAATACAAAAGAGTAAAAGAAGTTAGAAAGAGAGTAAAAATTAATGAGAGAGAAAGTAAGGCCAAAACAGGAACAGAACAAAATTGAGAGGTAAGGGAGGGGTAAGGGATATTTGTTGTCCCCGCTTCTTAATACTATTTAAAATAGCAACAGCTAGGACGAAATTTTCGTTTAAATTCAGGGCTTTTTTAATTAGATTAGGCGGTGTCAGACACAGTTTTCCCGATCCAGCTTCATCAAGATAATAGCTATCTAGATAATACGTAGGTGACAGAAATGCCACGAGTTATCTATTATTATCTCGATAATTGATGGGCCAGTGCGCGTGCGCCGTTCAGGTATATAATGGCATTGTGACATCACACGATTGATTGATTGATTGATTTTTATTCGACAAGCTTCCAAATACAACAATATACTATAATAACAGATCAAAAATAAGTCAGCTTGAACAGGATAACCCACGAAAGCTCGAGAGCTTATTTCCAGTGGCGGTGTCAGCCACAATTTTCCCGATCCAGCTTGAATTATTTGGATAATAGCTATCTAAATAATTCACTTAGGTAGGTGACAGACAGCTGACAGACAGGCTACGAGCTATCTAATTTTTTATCTAGATAATTGATTGGCCGGTGTGTTGGCTCAGTCAGTAGAGCGTCCGCCTCACAACCGGGAGGTCGTGGCTTCGAACCGGCCGCGTCATACCAAAAGACGTTAAAAGACGGGAGTTGCTGCTACCTTGTTTGGCGTTCAACAATAAAGGGATAGAGCAACGTCGATTTGGCGCTGCTCAGTGGCTGCCGGGCTCCAGATCAATTGGGCAAAAAGAATTTCCTTTTTCGGTTTACTTTAAAAGATTATTATTATTATTATTATTATTATATTGTCCATATACATATACACTGTATCTATATCTATATCTATATAAATCTACAAAGAATTCTTGCCTTATCCTTTTCTTGAGTAAAGATTGGTTACAGAAAATCTGAGACATATATTGCCTGTTAATCTTCGCTGGAAAGTTGTCTGAATGTTACGATCATTCGGGAATCGCATACCGACTAAGCGACCAAATCGCACACACACTATCCGCGCTCGCCCAAAGAAACTTCTACACGTAAACCAATGGGGATCTCAGCAAAAATTTAATTATACGACCCATATAGCGGTCAATTCTATATCATTACAGTGATTACTTACCAGCTATTGGAACAGTTCCGTTCGTGCTCTGTGCCTCTACGTTGTGTACTAGACAAAAAGATTAAAATACAAAAAAATACATAAGAAAAATGTAACACAATGATCATACATTATATTGCCGAGTGGAACTGACCCGAATTTGCATATTTTCAAGACCATTACCCATAACATAATCAGGAACCCTTCTGTGTGATAAACACAATGAATAATATTTTGAGCTAGGTTATTTACCATTGCTGTTTTTGGCGAAAACTGGTACATAATTAAATGCATTCAATGTTTGCGAACATCTTAGAAGTTAGGCTCCTTTTTCTTGAATTATGTTGCTATTTCTACAACAACAACAACAACAAATTAAAATCAGCGTAATAATGATAATGATATAAATGATAGAAGGGTAGAAAGAGAGTGCAGTGAATATAATAACATCAGACGGGGAGTCAGACAGGGTTATGTCGCCGGACCTGTTCAATATGTATAGTGAAATCATTCTAAGAGAATTGGAGGATGAAAATGGGATACAAGTGGGTGGCCATTAAATCACAAATATTAGATATGCTGATGACACTGTTTTATTTTCTGAATCAGAGAAAGATCTCCAGAGACTCCTGAATGTAGTTGTAAAAGAAAGTGAGAGAATGGGACTAGAGATCAACTATACCAAGACAAAGTGCCTGGTGGTCTCCAAGTAGAGCAGTCCAAAATGTAATTGGAAACTGAAAGAACATTATTATTAAACAAGTCTCCTCATTTAATTACCTCGGCAGTATGATCGCCGAGGATGCCAGATGTGAGACAGAGATCAAGAGAAGCATAGCTCTCGCTAAATCTGCATTTTCAAAGTTAGGCTAAATTCTGACAAATCGAACAATGAGTATGAGGACCAGACTAAAAGTATTGAATTGTAACATCTATTAATATGGAAGTGAAACATGGACTTTAGCCTCTGATACTAAAAAGCGTTTGGAAAGTTGCGAAATGTGGTATTTAAGAAGAATGATGAAAGTCCCCTGGACTGACAAAGTTAGTAATGAGGAAGTTCTTACACGAGCTGGAGTGCAAAGGAAAATGATACGTGAGATGTTGATTAGGCAGTTGAAGTTCCTGGGTCACACGTAAAGAAGGCCTAGAGAATCTTGCTTTGACAGGGAAAATTTTGGGCAGAAGGAGTAGGGGAAGAAGGAGGATACTTTGTTGGAAGAGAGAGGAGTGAAATAACTGGGAGTGGTACTAATACAGAAGGCTAGGAGCCGATAGGGCTGTGGAACAGCATGGTCGCCAAAGTCAAACGATATGGCACTTAGAGAGAGAGAGAGATAAATGATAACAATAATAATGATAATATTGATAATGAAAACATTCATAGAGCGTTACTACTAATATACTATAACAGTACATTAGCCCATATGAGCGTACATTTCAATGAATTTTTTTGCAAACATCCTGACAAAAACAGTTTTTAAGCGAAATTTCTAACATGCGTACAAAGAAGCAATAATACGAAATGATTCAGGTGGAGGTTAGGAGGAAGGAGAAAAATTTCTCACCACACAGAAAAGACAGCATCAGCAGCACGAGACTCGAAACAGGTATCCCCCTCATCTTGCGGCTAGCTTGGCAAACAGTGCTCTAGGACCAGAAGAATAATACTACATTGATTAAAAAAGGGTCCTTTTTATACTATTCAATCACGAGCAGTCAGGATCGGGATCCACGTGACCAAATTGTCGTGATTTGAGTTGTTTACCCAAGTTGCCCTTTCGGGTGATTATGTAACTTTAGCTAAATGGTGAAAGTTTCATCTAAAATGTCTCCATGTTTATCTGTACGAGGCCAGTGCGGCACAGGTACCTTTTCCCCCGGGATGAGTTATGTAATCGGTTCTTATCACATTTAATGTGTTTTCTTTTCTTTCTTTTTTTACACAAATGACACATTGTCTATATACGGGGGTTCATTGAAATGTCTTTTCGGCTGGCAAACTCTGATTATTAAGCACTGTTGAAATTATTACAGGAATGTTAGTCAATAAACGTCGATGAGCGTATAATTCAATTAACCCGTCTATTTTCTTGTCCATGTACATGCACAGTTACCAGTGCACAGCTAGTAACGTAGCCACGGAGAGAGAGGGGGGGGGGGTCGAATGGAAAACGGAATGGAAAGTGAGAGTGAAAAGAGCTGCTACCGCCTCTCCCCTAGTCTGCAGGCACAGACCCTAATTTGACACTTAATCAAAAATCATTGCGCCTTGAGAGAAGTCTAGCCCAGCTACCTACTTGTTGTGTCAATATAGCCTGTGTCAGGAGCAGTTCATAGAGATATACTACTAACTTATTAAGTATATATCTCTATGGAGCAGTTACAGTACATGGCCTATGGTAGTCTTATAGTGCAGACTCACTTTTACGACTGACCAGGGTTTGTGCTTGCAGACTACCTCTCCCCCCCCCCCCCCTCTCTCTCTCTCTCCCCCTCTCTTCTCCTTTTCCCATTTTCTAGTCTATCAATCTCTCTCTCTCGCTCTCTCTCTCTCTCTCTCTCTACCATACAAAACTCCCTCTCCAACTCTCCTTGTTGAACTAAATATTGATAATGAAGGTCGAAGCTGTGTCTGATTATTCTACCTGACTGGTAGGAAGGCATTTTGAACAAAGGCCTTGTTAAAGTGATTATGAATGATGTAGAAGTAGTTTTAATGAATTCATATTTCTGTTCAAATTTCCCTTTTAATACAATGCTTATTATTAATTTTATTTGTTGTTAATCAACCAAGTTGGTAGGATGAACGAAGATGAATCGGCGGGTTAAATTTGCTGCTTCCCCCTCCCCTACTCTTGTCCATCCACGCAACTACATAGCCGAATGCATTGAGGGTACGTTTATGCTCAATTTTGAAGGCAGAATGAGCGATTTGAAACGCTCATCGTAAACGCTCATCGTAATCGCAGTTCCACGGTGTACTGTTTATGCTCACTTCTCTCGGTCCTCCAGGCATGATTTTGGCTGGGTGCATGGCCTTGCAGCTGGATTCGCAAACCTGCACTGCGCATGCTACGTTGACCCTATTTAAACGCGTTTACAGAATAATGATTGTGCGTTTATGCTTCCCAGAATCGCCGATCCAAAAAGCAACTTTTTGTGAGTTTACGATCGGCGATTACGATCACCGTTTTGCTGTGATTCTACAAAAATGAAAAAGGACGCAATCGTGTTTTGAACTAAACGCGTAACAAAATAATGCCTCATTCTGGCCCGAAAAACATGGGCATAAACGTACCCTCAGTCACGCCTGGCCCGACATGTCCAACCTGAGATCAACAGCACATCCTGAACTGGACAACAAAAATTACATAACTTCCGATGGCCGAGAATCGGTCGGATTGGATTCGGTTTGACGGTGTGACTGAGGTAGTATTAGTGCACTGTCTGTATGTAGACCTTGTATACACTGTTTTAACATGTATTACATTTTTGTATCAAGTTGGTTACAATTTTAATCAAACACAGATTACTATATGAATCACTCAACTTTTGGCTAACTTTAACCAACAGCCTGTTTATTAAAATTTAAATTGTGGTTGATTAACATTTTTAATCGTTTATTGGTTTAAAAAGATTTGCTCAAGGTTGGTTAAAATGGTGTTGATACACTCTAACCCTTTGCTGATTAAAACTTTAACCTTTTGTTGGTTTATTATGCTTTGTGCGGGGCTGATTTACATGATGGTGGTTAAACTTACATGGTCGTTGGTTAAAATTGTAAACATTGTACGTTAATAATCTGCTTTGATTTACGCGTTATTGGTTAAACTTTCCCTGACCGCGTGCCGTATCTATAGATAAGGCACGCAGTCAGGGAAAGTGCATCCAGTCGTTACTTCTGCACCGGTTTTGCTGACAGACCACAATGCCCCGGTCACGTCAATGAGACCGATTCCAGACCGACAGCAAACCGAACAGAAGTTTACATTAATCAGAATGGACAATAATCATGGGAATCGGGGCGAGTGTTTCAAGTTAGTTAATATGACTGCGGCAATGAAGCACTATTTTGCGTAATAATGTCAAAATGATCGGATTCGTTTATCTTGGGATTGCATCATCATTAGGTTTTGGCAACACCGTTATCTTTTAAAGGTACTATGTCCCATTTGCAGGCCCCAAAAAATGAAAAGGTTAAATTCCGACGGCATTTGAAAGACAATATTAATTTAGAACTCCCCCCCCCCCCCAAAAGGGGGGTTTGAAAATATCTTTAAGTGGGAAAATAACGACTATTAGTTGTAAAATCGACTTAGGAGCTATAGATCCAGTAAGTAATAGTCTAATATTCAGACCATTGTATTGAATGGTCGTACGTTTTATGCAGCGCAAATGTTCATTCAGTTTAATTTTGGCCATTACAAGAAATGGGTTATTGATGTAGACAAATGCTCATGTAGGCCTACCATTTACAGCTCATTTTATGTATGTTATAACCAAAGAAGAAAAAAAAGCCAGTCAGTCACTCAATAGTGTCTGACAGTGAAGTCTAGCAAGTAAACGGGTTTCCTTGCATAATTTAAATCACTGTTAACGTTTAAATTTCACAGATATAACACACCTGACATATTTATAATCCTGCAAAGTTCTACAGCATTTGATGTTGGCTGCACAAGGGACATAGCATCTTTAAAGGGAAAGTATGTTCTGATTTTTACTTTTTTTTACTTTAATAGACAGTATTCGTATTGGTATTTGGTACAAATGTCATGTAGACACTAAGCTATAGTCATGTACCAAACATGTTTAGGGATGCAGCAAAACGTTTGAGAAATACGTGGGCTTTTAGGGCTGTATATAGGCCTATCCTCAAAATAATAACAATCAATAAAATAGGCCTATACAGATATTAACAAATGCGTATAGGCTAATATCATAACAAAAAGTTAAGATAATGAGGAAATACACAGGACAGTCATTAAAGGCCTATTTTTTCAAAAGATTTTTTTTCCCCGCTGTTTAAGTCGTTGCTGTTTTTTTATTGATAAAAGTGTATCTCTTCCCGGGATCTCATCGTATAGACCTGTGCATTATTTCCCTTTTTAAAATTTCATTTGATAACAATTAAAAAACGCCAGTTTTCAGGTGCAATAACCTATACATGACTTGTATAAGCGTTTATAATAAAATTGAATGCTATATATTGAATCAACCAGTCCAATCAAATTATATTAGATAAACAAAATCAAGGTTGATATTGGGAATTTGTAATGATGTATGAAATTGACCGCGGAGCCATCGCTGTATAAAGTGAAAAAGAAAAACCTTCTCCGTCTGGTATACTGAAAGTCGACCGTTATTGTTACGTAACTTCCGAAGATCGAGATTACACATGCGTGGAAGCAATGGAATGAGGTTGATTCTGTAATACATGAGAATTGCGGTAATTATTATGGGAATTTCAATTTGCTCCAAACATGAAAGATTGTAACTAAATTTTCTTGCTGGAAATTGGCAAGCAATTACCAATGACTTTTGATAACCTTTATTTGCTATGAAAATCAATATTATTTTACTAACATATTTTGTAGGGTCTGTGATAAAGCGGGAACTGCAGTATTTAAACCGTATCCGGACACTTACCCCCTGGACAACCCGCCCCGGACAACCAGTCCAAGATAACCACACTCTAGGACAACTACCCCCCTAGGACAACTACTCCGGACAACTACTCCCAGACAAATACCCCCTAGAAAAACTACTCCCTAGGAAAACTACCCCCGCACAACTACCCACAGACAACTACCCCCAGACATCTACCCCCTAGGATAGTTGTGCGGGGGTACTTGTCCTATATAGAGGATGGTTGTCGTAGGGGGAAGTTGTCTGGGGGTAGTTGTCTGTGGGTAGTTGTACGGGGGTAGTTTTCCTGGGAGTAGTTGTCCTAGAGTGTAGATGTCCTTAAATGGGGGTAGTTGTCTGGGGCTGATTGTTCGGGGGTAGTCGTACTAGAGGGTGGTTGTCCTAGGGGTTCATTGTCCTAGAGGGTGGTTATCATAGGGTTGGTTATCCGGGGTGGTTGTCCAGGGGTGGTGGTCAATTTTAAACACGTCATCAGGCCAGTCAAATTATGTGTACCCACATCATTGAGGGTCGAATCAATGAGATTAAAGGTCAAGAGGAAGCCAAAAAAGGCGATGGACAGATCGAGATCCCTTGTAGAATGCACAAAAACAACGAGAGAGAGAGAGAGAGAGAGAGAGGGAGAGAGAGACAGAGAGAGACAGAGAGAGAGGGAGAGAGAGAGAGAGAGAGAGAGAGAGAGAGAGAGTGGGGGAGACATTGGAGAGCATTGGTGTATGAATCCATGACCCCCAACCTTCAATATTGAGGATAGGTGAAGAACGAAAGAAACAAATACAAGATAATAACGTTTTTAACATATTTAGCGCATGTAATAAGTTATCGATATGACAGCTCGATCGTGTACAGCGAACCTATTTTTGGCAAAAATTCAAATTTTTGTTTGAGAAACTTTATATCTTGGTTAAAAATGATTATATTTTGGTCAATATTTAGGCTGACAATGTTTAAGCGTTAGCTTATTTTTTGTTGGAAACAATCTACTAAAACTTAAACTCAGTGAAGGGCTGTAGAGTTTAGACATTACT